CTCCCATCACCCATGTGAGTTGCCAGTGTGCTTGAGCAAGGATCATTGCAGATTCATAGAATCATAGGATCATTTGAGCTGGAAGGGACCTCTTAAGGTCACCTGGTACAACTCCTCTGCAGTGAACAGGGATACCTACAGCTAAAAAAGGTTGCACAGAGCCCCATCCAGCCTGACCTTGAATATCTCTTGAGACAGGGCATTGATCATACCTCTGGGCATTGAGATTCCTGCCAGTTTCTCGAGGCTTTCATTGTTTCTAGTTTAATAAACAAATTTTCCCTGCCACATCAGAGAATGAGCAGCCTTGAGGTAAGAAGTCAGTCTCCCCTTGTGATTTAGGGGAAACTCAAGCATGTAAAGGATCTTTAGATATGTATCTGTGGTGGTTTCACACTGATGGGCAGCTAAGCTCTACAACACCACTCTCTCTCTCCTCCTTGTCAAAAGAATAGCAGGAGAAAATAAGATGAAAAAAGCTCATAGGTTGAGATAAGGACAGGGACATCACTCACCAATTACAGTCATGAACAAAACAGATTCAGCATAAGGGAGATAAATGTAATTTGCTGCCTATTACTGCCTAGACCAAAGCAGAGAGAAACTAAAAGCAAACTAAAAACATCTTCCCATCATCTTCTACCTCCTCCCTTTCCCTTCCTTCTGTTGTGTCAACTACACCACTCACCTTGATGTCATCAGCAAACTTGCTGAGGGTCGATCCCCATGAGCAGCAGAGGGAATATGGTCAGTCCATAATGAACCATTTCAGACACTTCTTGTTCGTTCTCTGCTCCTGTTCCAGCATGAGGTCCCTCCAATAGGATGACGTCCTTCCTAAAATGATCCTGTATGGGCTTTCCACAGGCTGCAATTCCTCAAGAAATGTTCCAACGTGGGTCCTTACCACAGGGGTGGACTGCTCCACCATGGGCTTGTCTCCATGGGCTGCAATTCCAGAATCTGCTCCTGGAGTACTGTGTCCAAACCTGAAGCCCCAGCATGGGAAAGATGATGAGAAGCTTTTGGAGAGGGTCCAGAGGAGGGTCATGAAGATAATCAGAGGGCTGGAGCACCTCTCTTACAAAGACAGGCTGAGGAAGATGGGATTGTTCATGGAAGGGATGGTTCCATGGGCTGCATCCTCCTTCAGGCCACATCCACCTGCTCCACCGTGGGTTCCTCCATGGGCTGCTTGAGGAGATCTGTTCTGCATGGTGCCCCATGGAATGTAATGGGACAGCCTGCTCCACCATGGGCTTCTTCACAGGCTCTGGCCTCCTTCAAGCCACATCCACCATCATGGGCTACTCTCTTCACAGGCTACAGCTCCAGCCCAGGGCCTGCTTGTGTGGGGGATTTCCTTGGGCTGCAGCATCCTGCAGACCACATCCTCCTTCTTCAGCATGGGCTCCTCCACCAGCTGATCTTTACATGCTACCCCATGGGCTGAGGGGGACATCCTGCTTCCCCACAGGCCTCTCCTGCCTTATGGTCTCCTTCAGGCTTCATCCACCCTGTGGGCTGCTCTCAAGGAGTTCTTTTCGTAGTCTGTATATGTGTCTGGGATTGCCTTGACTCAAGTGCAACACCTTGCACCTGGACTTGTTGAACTTCAGGAGGTTTACATGGGCTCACCTTTCCTCTTTGTCATGGTCCCTCTGAATGGTGTCCCTTCCTTCTGTTGTGTCAACTACACCACTCAGCTTGATGTCATCAGTAAAATTGCTGAGGGTGCACTTGATCCCATCATCTATGTCACTGATAAAGATGTTGAAGAGAATGGATCTCAAGACAGACCCTTGTGGGACCCCACAAATGGCTTTTATGGTCCTTTCCTGATCCAGAGGCCATCAGCTTAGGAGTGCCCACAGGAGATTCTTCCCCTGCAATACCTCACATTTTAGCTTTAGTGTGAAAGCTGTCAGCCACGAGGGCAAAGGAAGGCAGTGCACAGGCAGTCTTACAAATGCTGGCAGTGAAAATTCAAGGACCTGTGGGATTTGGTGACAGCTTCATGGTGGTTTTGAAGGCATTAGAAGTATGTAAATGGCAGAGAGACCCTAAGTACCTCTGAGGATCTGGGATCAAACAGAAAGTAAATAAAGACTCAGCAGGAATGTTGTCATCTCCCTGCTAGCATGGTTTAACGTACACATTTATAATTTCTTCAGATAGCATAATGATGGCTTCATTAGAAACTCTTCTGTATAAATAAATCATTTGTCCATTGCAGAGTTCTGATGAAAGGAGATTGTATGTCTTCTTCCTGTTCTAGCAGCTAGGTTTATTACTGGTACATGCTTTTTCATATTCTTCCTTTATTTTTCCACCACTTCTACATTATCTTGGTTTGCAGTCTTAATGGGAAAGTACTGCGCAGCTGTGTGATGAGGTAAACTGAAGGAGATGGGACACTTTGGTGTGGCATTGGGTGACAGGCTGTGAACATGGCACACTGAAATCACAGATTGTAAGTTTGTCATGGTTGGAGAGAAAAGAAAGCCTACAGCAACTGAAGTTCAAATCATTGCATCCTGTCCTTTCCTTCAGGGAGCACTGAATGCTGCTCTTTGTTCACAGAAATCATGGGAATTTCATCTTGCTAGGAGAATCTCTCTGCAGGGCTGGGAAAGGGACTCGGGAGCTTTCAGACCTTTGTGAGTCACAGACCCAGGAGACCATTGCTACCAAGTGAAAGGGAGACATGAGAAAGTTGGAGAAGCTGACTGTATGTGTGCCCATGTTTCCATTTTAGGAAGCTCCCATCCCTGCACCCACTATCCCATTGCCATTAGATGAAGGAGCATTTCAACTGGTCGCAAGAACCAGACTGGAAAATAGAGCACAGTGCTACTGCTTTCCTCCATCAGTCTTATTTCTTTTTCTTGTGATGTAATCCCCTTCAGTTTTCATTTCATCCAGCAGGAGAGTGCCTATGCACTATTCATAAGGAACTGGGCTCTTCTCCATGGGCTCTTCTTAGGCATCTTAAATCAGTGCACTTCAGTGCATTGCAGACTTTATTTTTCTTTTTGCTTCCCAAAGGTCTATGAAATGTGTTGTTGCACATGAACGTAGTTTCCTTTGGGTGCCAAGGCACACCTTATGTTTTAGTGTAAGATTCCAGGGCTCTCAGTAATGTGCTTTGGCCTTAATGATCCTGAAACAACACTATCATGGATTCTACAATTCCCTGCCACTTCCTCTTGTCAGAAGCGTATGCAGAATAGATCTGATTCTGTCTATCTGCTGATGGTTGGGGCCGTTTGAATTTGCTGGACTTGGCAGAGGTCTAGAAATTTCTATTCATCCTGCTCACCAACTCCTGCTGGAGGTAATTCTGTAGGACAGCTTCTCATGGGGTTTCCAGTTGGCTCCTTTCCTCATACACAGCTGTTGAGGCCCAACTGGGGTTGGGAGTTAGGCAGTTTATGAAATAAAATAAAGCTCAGATCACTCATTATTGAAGTACTGGGACTGGGCAATAGTTAGAGCAAGGGACTGAATTAGAATGGAATTTTCCTGAGCCCAAAAGACAAGAAGATCTGTCTCCAAGAAGAGTAATGTTGTGAATGCTGGAAGCTGCTGTACAATTTATGAGGTTTGCATTAGACTTTCTGTTGAAACTGAGTTTAGATCTGGAAGAAGTTAAGTTGGAAGGCTATGCACAGAGGTGGGAGAAAGACATCTGACTTCTGTGTCTTTCTCTACTGAGGGTTACATCAGCCCATCCCTCTGTAAAACCAGGATAATAACTGAGAATAACATATTGCAATCAATGAGGATGGGACTGTGGGGCATGAAATCAGACTGAAATCACACTGGAGCTTTCTGGTGTGGAGGGCTTTCCTCCCAGTGCTCTTGCCCTCCGTTGTTTTTCACAGGAGGCTTCTGCAGCTGCTCGTCTCACTGTCGTAGAGAGTATTTTCCCACTTGTATAGCTGAAGGATCCTTATCATACAGCACTTCAGCTTCCAATTTCTCTGCAGTGGAAAGCAGCCTCCATCTCAGCAGGTGTCTCGATGCTGTTTACAGGACACCTGTCAGCTCTTTTGGCTCCCTGTCCCCTCTGCCTCCTAATTATAAATTTGTGGATTGCTGCAGCTATGGGCTTTTTTTTCTTTTCTTTTCTTTTTTTTTTTGTTCCTTGTGCACAAAATGTCAAATTGCAGAAATTAAAAATGTAAATGATGGCGTCTAATTAACCAGTTGACAGCAGAGCACAGCTGCGAGTGACAGTGACTGATTACCTTCTGCAAACCTTGTCCTCCAAGACCTGCCTTACTCAGGGGATGAAGGACTTCAAAAATAGCAACTTCCTTAAAGAGACATTGCTCTGCTGAGAAAGTCTGATGCATGGGCAATGGTCCTGGAGGTCTCCATGTCCAGTGGATAAACCCCAGTCCTCTTGAACTCCAGGTAGATTTTCCCCAGTCAAAGGGGGATGGAATCCTATTGCTAGAAACGTGATATAACACTAGCAGCATAGCTGTTGCTGGGATAGACTGGCTTGAGTTGGGGAGATAGATAATCTTAGAAATGTATGCAAATCTAGTAGTACAGATGGCACAAACAAGCATGTAAAGGGGAGTTTTGTATGTGGGAGCAAAAGCCTGAGGTCTCAGAGAGCGAAGAGACCAGTGGGACTTCCCTATGGGGCTGGAGGTGTTCAGAGCTTTTGAGTGCCTAACAGAGGAGTCCAACACCATAGATCTTATTTCTTTGACAACGTGGATGAAGTTAACAAGATGTTCTTTGGGATTTCAGTCTCAGAATAGGGTTGAGCGATTACAGCATTTATCTATTATTCACGAATAGTGGCTTAGTCTAATTTCTGTTTTATTCATCTTCATTGTAAAAGAAGGGTATGACAAGACTTATCATTGATGCTCTAGAAGAGCCTAAGAGTGTTAAGTTTATTCTATATTGTTAATGGCTTTCAGTTCTTGTCTCCATCCTCTGTCCCTTCAAGAAACACCTGTAATTCTCTCTCCCAGGTACTATTCAGACATTGCTAAAATGCCAGCAATCAGTGACCAGGACATGAATGCATACTTGGCTGAGCAGTCTCGCATGCATATGAATGAGTTCAACACTATGAGTGCACTCTCGGAAATATACTCCTACGTTGGCAAGTACAGTGAGGAGGTAAGAGCCTTGGAAAGGGAGAAGTTATGCAGAACCATCAGACAATCCACCCATTCTGATAGCTCAGCATATGTCATGGATACCTTTCTTCATCCTGGATGAGGGGATGATGGATCTAGGGAATAAAAACAAAATCTGGGATCTGAAGAGTCTGGGTTTGTTGGTTTCCCCAGGACTCTTCCATCTGATTCTCCATTATTTTAATTTTCTCATATTGGTCAATCAAAATTAACTGGCTTTAGCTGATGATCAGAAAAGACCTCCATAAACTCTTCATCACCCGTGGCCAAAAGTTGTTGAGGCATATATGCCCAATACCATTTACAGTACCATAAAGCACCAAAGAATGGTCTATCAAACATGAAACAGATGTTATGGGTATCAAAGACCAGATGAGATACCTTAGAACATCTGAAGTGGCATGGCAAGGTAATGAAGAAATCTGCCACATAATTGATCTTCAAGATGCTAATCCATTTGATCTGTTGCAAAGTAGAGGTTTGCATTCAGCCACATCAACACCAAACTGCCTGCCTAACTCGCTTCTGGCTGACTGACCTGCATTGCATGATCTAAGCTAAGTTTGGGGCTCACCTGTAGGGAAAATTAACCCTCATCTGTTGCTGAAAGATACTGGACTTAGTTGTTTTGGAAAATAAATATAAAAACAGAGCTACATCACTTCTTTCTCTCTTTTTTTCCAGATTCTCGGAGCCCTTGATCAAGATGACCAAGCTGGGAAACAGAAACTTGCCTACAAACTTGAACAAGTCATAACCCTCATGAGCATAGACAGCTGAGAACTGTCCTGCCAGGGACACCCTGGGAGGGATAAACCAAGTCGTGCCTCACTCAAGATCATCATCTTTACCAAGTGCAAGTTTTGATTGGCTGTAAGCAGAGTCACCTGAACAGCACTCCTCTCTCTCTCTCATTTCTTTCTCTTTCAAAATCTGTGGACAAAGTGAGAAATCCCCAGGGGTTAAAAGAAAAGATTGCAGAGGAATCTTAGCTCTGGGGATATCAAGACATTCAGGTGAAGCTCTCATTTTCACAGCTTCCCCTCTGCCTTTATTCTACAAAAGAAAAAAAAAGAACAATTCCACAGAAACAAAACAAGACAAAACAAAACCCTCCCCCAGCATCACCTCATCACTCTGCAGATGGGAAATCGAGAGGTCACCTCTGTCATGCTGCTTTAACTGCCCTCCTGGGGATGTAGCCTCTGGAGTGGACATAGAAATGAACTCAGTATTACTAAATGTCTCCCCAACGGGAAGGCAGCCTGCCTGCAGGGATCCTGAAGGGTAGGAGGAAATCAAGATCCTCTCCTGCAGAGCCATTGCAACTCTATCTCTTGATAGGGACCCACTGGGAGAGGAACACCAAGGCTCCCTGCAAAATGCCACAGCTCCGTCCAGAGTGGGAACATTGTGGCTCTTATCTGCCTGGGCAAACAGCGGTGTAGTTGCTCTCTTGGGGCAGTAGAAGGGTCAAGAAGGGAGGATGGAGACCAACAGTCTCCTGCCCGTGTGATTCATATGGTTATTCTTATTTTTCCAAGAGACCTGTGTTCCCCTCCGTCTTTCCCATTGTGTCCTGTTGGTTGTAGCACTGCTGCAAAAATGCTCTCTCTTCTCAGTGGCATCCCATTGGTGGTGTTTCTGTTCCTTCTGGCAATGGACAGCACAGCATCTCCTTTGTCCCCACCTCAGCTTGGAAAGCAGGAACCACAAGTCTCGCTTTGTTCCAGACAAGGAGCGTGGCCTCAAAAACCAACCAGAGGGTTTTTTTTTTAAAGCTGTTTGTTCTTTTCATTTTATTTCCACAACTGAAACAAAGCTATTGGGTTTTTTTTGGTGGAATATCAGAAGGATATTAAAGGGCTTGCTGTGAAGCAAGATAGTGCATAGGACTGATGGTAGAAACTTCCTTCAAAGCCACTCTGAAGAGGAAATATCATCACATAGTTTGGAAGGAAATCTTGGAAGAAGCCCAAACGAAACACTGCAAAATTTTCTTCCATCTAGATACTCCAAGTCAAACTGCATGTTTTCTGGAGATCCGCAAACTATTGTAAGCTCATTTGCCTTTTGGTGCCAACTCCTGGCCCTTGCTCTTTTCCATTCTGGAACCAGCAGGCCTTGTTGAAGGCACAGTTGCTGACTGTGATGTGTTTGCTCTCTCTTTGCACTTCCTATCTTTTCAGAGATCATTGTCATCACAGGACAAGGATGGGTGATCACCTTGTTCTTTCCTCTGTTTGGCTCCTCCAGAAGATCTACATCTCAATCTATTTCAATGCCAACCAAATAGGAATGAGCTCCTGCATCCCTTCTGCATTTGGCTAGTTTCTCCTGCAGCTGCTGGCTGTTTAACACTGTGGTTCGATGCAGTGGGAGAACCATTGCCGCAGAGCCTTGAGGGAACTGGAAAACCTTGGATCTGGTATACCACAGAGGCAGAAGCCAGGTCTGTGTTGATCTCACCTGAATGGTGCTCACTAGCAAGCGGAGGATTGGCATCGCGCAATGAAGAATCAGTCCTCATCCATCTTTCACCATCCTTCAAGCTACAGCCTTGGTTTACTTTGCATCTGGGTAGATGAAGGGGTAAAGACAGGGTGTGTAAATTGATTGTGGAACAAGTGTATTTGGTTTTGTTCATGCCTCTTGCTAGCAAGCCTGAACTTCTTCAGAGCAATGGCTCATAAGTGTGTGTAAAGGAGGAAGTGGTGCAAGCAGGGGTCAGATAGCAAGCAGATTTAATTCAGTCAAACATACACATGTAAGCAAGTCTTTCTAAAACCATTTAAAGAACAGCAGTCCAAAATTGGGTGCATGTGTGGGGGGAGAATATCACAAGATTCATATTGAAACAGCAAACTTAGGGACACGTCTTGGTTTTAAAACCCCAGACATTTCTCTCTTGATTATAATTATTATTATTTTGTGCGTGTGCGTGTGTGTATCTGTGTGCGCGTGTGCGTTATTTCCTTTTTAATTTTGCTTGCTTTCTGTTTGATCGCTGAGCTGATGGACTCATCATGCACCTTATGGACATCTCAGCATTTTTAAGAGGCCTGCGCAACGGGGATGGTTTGGTTTGGTTGGCTCTGCCATGGTTTTGTTGATCCATTTTGTAATGTTGGGGCATGTTCCAGATCCATTGATTATGGCTGTGAAAGTGGGGTAAATGTCCCACCAGAGCCAGCAGTAAGAAAACTGCAACAACAACACAAACACAATATTTTTTATAAGTACATAAAAACGAAAATTAAAAAAAAAAAAAAAAAAGGAAGAAACCAAAGGTTTTGACAAACAAAGTGCCACGAAAGATAAATATGGACCCTATTGTCATGCCTTGTACTCACAGCTGGAAGGTAGGAGTCTAACGACAAATAGCTGGCTTGGAGGGAAGTGGTTATGAGTGATGGTCTATACTGCCTGGACATGTGCATACAAAAGGAAAAAGAAGCTGTTAAAGAAGAAAGAAAAAAAGAAAGGAAGAAAGAAAGAAAGAAAAAAATAATCAAAGTGAACTGGCATAATCCTGCACTGTTACTGAAGTCAGAGGAACACCACAGGGGAAATCTGAGACTCACCTTGCTTCTTTTTGATGTTTTCAGGGCTGTGTTTTTGTTTTACTATGGTTGTTTTCCACTGTTGCTGGTTTATTTCTTCTTGCTGGTACAGAGTTTTTCAGCTGTAAAAAAAATATACGTATATTTCAAGAAAAACTTGAACACCTCAGAGACACTGAGAATGATACGCTTAGGGGAAATGGGAAGCGCCATGAGATTGGTATCTTGATCCCTCCCGAGTTCCCATTTAGGCATTTCCTTTTTCTCTCAACTCTCTTCTCCCTCCTACCCCAGGATTTGAAAGAAGATTTTGTATTTCGATTCTTTCATCTCCTCCTCCTTTTCGTTTTCCTTCTTCATTTTCTGTTTTAACTTTGGTGCTTAAGATGGTTTTGGTTTTCACTTGAAAGAATGGTCCAGAATTGTGGTGTAAATGTGTGGGCTTTGTCCTCTGTCCCATTTGGTGTCCTTCTCCTTTCCATCCACTGTTCCAGCATCTACCACAGTCTATGAGAGGTCTCGGCATCTTTCTTCCCAGCCTCACCTGTTGAGCTAATTATTTTTCTAAATGCATGTAAAATACAATTAAAAACAAAGACACAAGCAGAAGAATGAGCCCTACTATGACATGGATGGGTTCTTTTTCTCTTCCTTTGCCTTGTTACCCCCCAGTTCCTCACTTTACCACAAGCTTGACCAAAAGTGTGCCATGTGAGTTGTATTTCACACTGGTTTTCAAGCCTCACAGTAAGAACAGGAGACAAAACTCCCAGAAGTTGACAGGTTACTGGTACACCAGATAATAGACTGATGTTTCCATTTTTTCTCAAACACTGCAATCAACACAATGAATATTGGCACTTTCAGTAACATCAGAAATATGGAAAGAGAATGTGAGTGAAGACTCCTTGTGGTCCTTCTCGAAGAACAGAGTTTTTTCCATTGCAGAGTTTGCTTTGAGAATTTGTGTCTAGGTTTGAAGAACCACTCTACAACATACCGTATCCTCTTTGTGAGTGCATTCACCTATCAGTGTCATCCATCATGTCATGTCCTTTTGCAGTTTGAGCCATCAAACTGGAGTTGTGGGAAGAGTTATCTAGAAGAAGGTGTTAGAAATTGGTAGCACTTGAGCAAACAGCACGTGAGAACTAGGAAAAAGGAGAAATGTACGCTCTCAAGGGCATCTTCATCTCCTAACACACATCAGTTCTTCTCTTCCCACACTTCACTCTGTCCTGAATATATTTGAAGATTTGGTCCAGCATGGCAGACACCAGCCTGCTCCATTGGGCTTAAGCTGATTTTCAACATCTTAACCACTGCAGTTGTCTTGCCATACTGCTCAACACTAGAGAACATAAAAACTAGTTTCAACATGAAGAGGATTTACTAGCAGAATTCAGATTGGTGTTTGTTTTAATTGAAATGTGTTTACTAAAGTTTCTAGATCTTGTGCATTACAAGGAAAAAGACAAAATAATATTATTGTTTTTATTATTTATAATTATGCTATTGAAAACTGATAGATAAAGTTACAGGAATCCACGGCCACTCTCACTGTTGAGTAATTCAACCTAAATAGTACATAGAATCATAGAATCATAGAATGGTTTGGGTTGGAAGGGACCTTTCAGATCATCTAGTTCCAACTCCCTCTGCTATAGGCAGGGACGTCTCCCATTAGACTTGGTTGCTCACAGCCCCATTCAGCCTGGCCTTGAATGCTTCCAGGGAGGGGACATTCACAACCTCACTGAGCAGTATTAGCTAAATGCTGGGATACCTATGGTGTAACAACCTAAGAAAAAGCAGATAAAGCCAAGAGCAAAGTTGTTTTAAAGTAAGCCAAAATGCAGATCTGTATTTTCACGTGGAATATGAAGAGCTTTGAGAAGAAATACCACTGTGTGGAATACTCGTACAAAGGAAGTCTAAAAACCCAAAAGGACTGAGTTCCAGGGCTTCTCTTAGTGGGACATACAGTGTGTCTCCACAAAGGACCCTTGAGTCCTTTCACATACAAAAAAGGAAAACCTGGGCTGCTGGAGATGACCAGAACTCTTCTCTCACATCACCAAAGCATCAATAATACAAGTCATGCTTCACCCTTCCCAGCAGCCAGAAAAAGCTCATGAAGCAGACGTATCTGATAGCCTGGATAAGTAGTTTCATGCTGTAAAGGGAATGACAGAGAGGAAGAAAACTGGTCCTGGTTCTCAAACTCCTTACATGCTCTAGTATGTAAGAGGTTTGTTCCATCATAGCAACGTATTGTTCTCTGGGTGAGCAGTGGCCATTGCTAATTGGGGAAGATGACATGACCAGATAAGCATTTACCTGTAACCTCATCAATCCTTGATAGTCCTTTCTTCTCCTTAGTTTAGCATGTAGCTGAAGGAGCTGGATAGAGGGCTCTGTTTAAAAATGTGCATGTTGGCCCCACTAGGTTTCTTTTGATTTTTAATAACTCACCAGAAACTGCACTGAGGAGACCCAGTTCATGTATCTTTCACCCTTGAATGAGGAAATCAGTACAAAAATCCAGCTCTTGAATAATTGCTGTTGTCTAAATGCCTGTAAGATAAGATCTCCTCTCCTGGAGGAGAAGGAATCCCTGAGATGACTAGGGAGCCCAGGAATGGATTTGATTATTTTGATTATTTACACAGTAAATTGTGTTTCTTTGTTGGCACAGGCCTCACCATGACAGCTGTTGGGTAAAGAGGTACTGGCACAACCTCAGTGATTCCAGGGCAATTTGGTCTGTGTTATCTGATGAGTAGTAATATGTTGTCCTTTGGGGCAGATGGAGATCTTGGACTGCCCTAGCTCTTGCCATCCAAGTTTGGTTTGCTGTGGAGCAGACAGCTGGAAGTCAAGTGATGCTCCACGTCATGGTGTGAACCTCAGCCTCCTGGCCATTCACTGCTTGAGTTTTCTTGCTTTGCATCCAGCTTTGTCTCCATTTCAGAGTATAGTTGAGTTCATAGTGTTCTGCAGTTGTCCCTCATGTCTGCCACTGTGCAACATTCCTTCCCCTCTGAGAGTTGTGTTGTCCTATGGAGGATAAGTTATACAGAAAATGCTTTGAAAACAGAGCTGGTCAGTCATTGATTTGGGACTTCTCAGTTCTCTGCACTGTTAGAGAAGCACCCAAGGACACAGTGGCTTATGGCAATTAATTAATATGCAAAAGAATGACAAAAGAAAAAAAAAGGATTACACTTGAAAAGAATAAAGCCACTACAAAACAAGCAAGCAAGCAAACAAAAAAACAACAAACCAGAGAGGATATAAAGCTGCTTAGTCCAACCAATCTGTTACATGCGTGATTTCTGTTGTCACTGTCATTGTTTGTTCACTTTTTTGTTTGTTAATCTTCTGTTCTAAAAGTGGAGAGTTTACCTCAAGAATTTCTTTCTGCTTGGAACCGGATCACCTCAAAGACACCTGCAGCAAAGAGAAGCATGCAGGGAAGCTCAGTAAAGTCAGCCTGCTTATGGGAAATGGGGGGAACAGGACATTTAGGCTCTTTCAACATCCCCTTCTCTTGCTGGTGTGGTTTGAATCTGAGGGCAGTATTTCTGAGCAGGAGAGGATGCTGTTCACTTTCAAGTAGACTGGAACACAAGAGCCAGTCAGAGAAACCAAGGCACACGTCTGAGCTTGACATCCTTTCTTAAATATCTTAAAGAAACTTGGTGTTACTTAAAATTTCTTCACTGCTCTTTCCCCATTTCCTGGAGAAAATCCACTTTCCAGCCCAGGGTGGGGTAAGGAAGCAGAGATTAGGTGCTAGCTAAATGCTCCCAGCATTTTCCCCAAGATGAGAGGCAACTGGATTATTTAATGCCACAAGACAGGCCCTTCCTAGTGTCTGACCCTGTGTCTTGGATGTACACACAAGCCCAGAAGTCTCATTCTCTGTTTTTGCTAAGGCTTCCACCTTAAGTACAAAATCAATGTAAAGACATATCCTTTCACTACAGTGTTACTAACAGCCTCAAAGAGATGTCAAGACAGCATTAGAAAGGAGGTTGGGATCCCTTTTTTTTAGGTTGTTGTTGTTGTTGGTTTGATTTTCTTTTGAATTGATCCTAGTTAAAAAAATAAAATCTATACTATTTAAATTGGAATCCCATTGTTACTTGGTAAAGGCAAAGCTTCTGTACCTTTGTTATAATTAATTGTATACCTGTGTATGTAAATATAAGGCATTCCTATTTTGCAGTCCAGAACAAAAACAAAACAAAAAATAAATAAAAAAACAAAACAAGAAAAAAAAAAGGAAAAAAAAAACTATTTGTAATATAGAATAAAGTTTATTAAAAAAAAAATAAAGAAATAAAAAGTGTGCTGGGCTGTGATTGCTGCTTCCTACGGCTGATTGGAGCCAGAGGGAGGAAATTCAAGCAAAAGGAAACTACAGAGACTGGAGAGGTGGCAAGTGATTAAAGCAAGTCCGTTTCATATCTGTTCCATAGGAGCCTTTCCCAAGCTCAGACTTTCTCACCATCCACAATGCATGCTTCCTCAGTGCTCCGAAGAGTCGTGACTTGATGGTATTTTGCCCATGGCTTCATACTGTTGCACATGGGCTGTGCTGATGAATAGTGGTCGGGGTTGGATTCCTACCTGAGCAGTCCCCAGCTACATTTACAGAGAGAACAAAGGCCCAAGGATTGACATGCTTATGACA